TATGGGTTGAACCCATTGCGGGATTCTAGATCTGACGTTGACGTTGCCGTTAAAATAGTAATATTTATTATGAGTTTTGTATCTATGGAGAAGTAATTAATATTAAACTGCTAATTATTAATTATCAGACTCACAATGTGTTGTAACCAAAGCGACTTGACAACGTTGCAGAATTGTTTATTGTGTGAGGTTATGTTCTGTGGCCAAACGAATTAAAACCGTTGCGTTTAAATCATAGATAATAAATCATTTGAGTGTGTGTATGTTATGTTCTGTGGCCAAACGAATTGAAACCGTTGCGTTTAAATCATAGATAATAAATCATTTGAGTGTGTGTATGTTAGCTGCAGCTTTTCAAATTTAATCAAAGATAGAAAGATGTCCAAACAATATAAGTAAGTACCTAATATATATATATATATATATATATATATATATATATATTTATTTAAGTATATATTAGAATAAAATATAAAGCAATATAAGACTATATATTTTATTCTAATGCCCTAAAATATCCGGAGAGATTGGCTATATTTGGGCTTTTATAATATTTTAGAGCTAATCGAAAGCGGTCAAGAAGTTATGTTTATAAATTAGCAGCCAAAGAAAGGGAGGAGTCCTTTAAACTATATAAAATTGATAACAATCTCTCAAGTAATATTTCTGAAACTAATAATAGTAAAAATAATCATATCGACTCAGAAGAAAAATGTTTTTATTTTAAAAACGTTAACACTTCCCTATTTTTTTGTTAATTTACAATTAATTAATTAGTAGGCCTATTATCTTGTAAATAAAGTAAATTGTATGTGGTTTTTGTTTGAAGTAGATATTTTTAAAATCTAAGAAGGTACAGAGATTAACGCAAACCTCTTTAGTGCAAAATAGGCTAACGCCACAATACAAAATCCCAGCTCACAAAAAAACTGAATATTAATGAGTATAAATAAAAAATAAATAAATTTTGTCAACAACCATCATTGGTTGATTTGATATGGATTTACTTATATAAATATATATTTTTTTAATTTAGCTTCTTTAAGAAAAAATCCAATGACCAGGGAAGCTACAAATAAAGAAATTGAAGATGTACATCTTCATCGGAGCCAATTTTTTAACACGTGTTAAAAAATTGGCTCCGGACTGCTGGCGATCGGGAAGGCGGAAGGTGCCGAAGGAAGACAGATGGCAATAATACTGAGGCAATCGCTAATTAATTATATATATATATATTATGTATATATACTTGAGAATTCACATTAATTTTATTACTTTTATTTATTATTTTTATTAAATAAGAATATTGTTTTTCTTTAAAGAATATTATTTATTTATTTTATAAAAAGAATATTATTTTTTTATAAAGAATATTTATTTAATTTATTAAAAAAAAAACTAATACTGCTAATTTTATTTTACCCTTACAGCATTTTGACCTAGCTAGTGAATACCGCCATCTTATACTGACGATCGTTTGCCGAAGTCGTTTCCTAATGGCGGGGTCTGCGATCAACAGAGGGCTATAATCCGTCGGCCGCCCGATGGCCCCAGTCTTCTATTGACTGTTGGCAGTCGTCGTATGCCACCGGCGTGCTAACGTCGGCATGCGACGAATAACGGCAGGCTTTAGTCCGTCGGCCGCCTGATGTCTCCTATTGATGCAGGGCCGACGTCGTTTGCCACCGGTGGGCCAACGTCGGCAAGATCATTTGTAGACCATCGGCCGCCATGCGGCCGACGGACTATTGACGGCGGACCGACGTCGTATGCCACCAGCGGGCTGATGTCGGCATACGATGAACAACGGCGGGTTATAGTCCGTCGGCCGCCTGATGGCCGCTGTCTCCTATTGATGTAGGGCCGACGTCGTTTGCCACCGGTGGGACAACGTCGGCAAGATCATTTATCGACCGTCGGCCGCCATGCGGCCGACGGACTATTGACGGCGGACCGACGTTGTATGCCCCCAGCGGGCTGATGTCGACATACGATGAACAACGGCGGGCTATAGTCCGTCGGCCGCTGTCTCCTATTGATGCCGGGCCGACGTTGTATGCCATCAGTGGGCCGACGTCGTATGCCACCAGCGGGCTGATGTCGGCATGCGATGAACAACGGCGGGCTATAGTCCGTCGGCCGCCTGATGGCCGTTGTCTCCTATTGATGCAGGGCCGACGTCGTTTGCCACCGGTGGGCCAACGTCGGCAAGATCATTTATCGACCATCGGCCGCCATGCGGCCGACGGACAATTGTTTGTCGGGTTAATATATAACATTTATATATCATTGTTACAATGTAGGTATAAAACATTGTTATATATCCATGACATATATGTACTATAGTAGGGATGTAAATATAACAAGAACGGATAATTTTTATATAACTATTATATTAAAATGTTTTATTATAATTATGTAACAAAATAAAGAAAAACTATGTAAATACCATACAGGGTGTCCGGGAAAAGGAGGTCAATCCGTTAACCATATATTCCTTAAGTTAAAACAATAAGACTTTCATAATACCATTTTTCAATTTAGAGCTTCATGTTCGATATACAGGGTGACAAAGTTTGAAATTTAAAACTGATTTTTTTAAATAATTTGAGTAATTGATAAGATATTAAGTTTAAATTCGGTACACTACTTCAACATAAATAGTTACATTTTTTGAGACCAACAAAACAAAAAACAATTGTCAAATAATCAAAATAGGGGGGTCCAGTACTCACTGACTCCCCCTATTTTTTAGTACGTGCGCCAATGACTTCCAAACAGTATTTTTTCAGGTAATCATTTATTGTTGAAATTTTTTTGTCTCTTATAAATTTTTGATAAAATGATTTGTTTTAGAGATAATTTGTAAAGTATGGGTCAGTCCATATCAAATCAACCAAAGGTTCTTCCCCCACCATCTCCGATTTTGATAATAGTGTACCGAATTTGAACTTAATGTCTTATCAATTACTCGAATTATTAAAAAAAATCAGTTTTAAATTTCAAACTTTGTCGCCCTGTATATAGAACATGAAGCTCTAAATTGAAAAATGGTATTATGAAAGTCCTATTGTTTTAACTCAAGGAATATATGGTTAACGGATTGACCTCTTTTTCCCGGACACCCTGTATATTAATAAGGTTATATGGATACTATAAAACATTGCCATATATCAATTATGTATCATTGTTCCATTGTAGATATATAACATTGTTATATGGCTGATACATAAGGGGGATGTAAATATAACAAGAGGGGAACATATTTAAATAAATGTTATATTACTATGTTTTATCATAATTATGTAAAAAAATAAAGAACTAATATGTAAATGCTATGTAAACAATTTTATATGGCAATGTTCTTTGTTAGTTATATCATGGCTATGTAAATGGAACGGCCTGGTTTGCTGGGTTTGTATACAAACTAAAGATACTTTCAACTCAAAGTATCTAGTTACCTGAGGTAACTAAGTTATTTTGTTTAAAGTATCTTAGAAAAGTAACTAGATACTTTTCAGAAGTAACTTTCCCAGCTCTGCCTGGCGGCCGCCCATAGTGGGCACTTCGCCCACACCTTAGGTCGGCTCTGTTCATATTCTAGAAAAAGCTTTTTCTATGGTTTTTGGAAACAATCTCCTGTTCTACTGCTTAAAGCGAGTCCCCACAAGTTTGTTCTGTATTTTTGTTAAAATACAAAGGTGGTTATTTCTGTGATGGTTGTAGAAGTTAAATACCTATGTTATAATCAGGGCCGGCCCGAGGTACGGGCGATCCGGGCAACGGCCCAGAGCGGCATAATGGGGGGGGCGGCATTTTTACGATTTGTTAATGATAATCAATTTTAATCAATATACTAAAACTTTTTAGATTGGCGATTTTTTTAAGAATTACGCTCGAGAAATGCAGTTTAGATAATATAATATCTTTGTTACAAAGATTTAATAGAGACGCTCTCGGAAGACGACCCTGGCGCCCTCTTTCATTCGTTTTTTCAATCACATACTTTTGTTTGACAATAGACAACTAATAATTGACAAATATTATATCACGATCGTGCTTGTAACATCAGTGCATTGCTAAGGTAGTTTGATAATTAGAAGTATAAAATGTCTGAAAACGCAAAAAGTTTCAGAAATTTGTTATAAACATTTGTTTGTAGAGGTTTAAAATCAATGATCTGACGTGCATCACAGCAGCATTCGGTTTTGCCAAAGTCCGCTAAACTCATTAGGTAATAAAAAAAATTGAACCTATGAATATTAACAGTAATGGGTCAAGAAAGTTTCTTAAAGAAACTAAGAAAATTGAATGTTTCATTACGTAATTATTGAGTTAATTTACTTTTAAAGATGATTCATCTGAAGTAAGTTAAAAATACGATATTTTAACAGCAATTATGTATGTAATAATCTGAGCTATCGCGGAATATTGCGAAAGTAAATTTTAACAAACCAAAGAATTCTTGTAACTTAAAAATATTGTTTAATTATACTCACTGTAGTGAGTATAATTAAACAATATTTTTAAATTATAAGTAGGTATATAATAGTGACACTAGTATATAATAATATATAGGATATAATCATTGACAAGTGATGCAATTATTAACAGTATATTGCCTTACCTTGTAATTCTAAAGCATAAAAACTTTTATAAAAAATTAATAAATTTGAAAAAAAATTACGTTAAACTACTTTTTTTCCTATTCCTGCTGATAAAAAAGTGGGCGGCAAAAATATCTTGGCCCGGGGCGGCAAAAAACGTCGGGCCGGCCCTGGTTATAATGACGAGAATAGCTTGGAATGACCTTTCACAGATAAAATAACCTTTCACAGGTAACATAACCTTATTGATTATAACTCGAAATTACCCTCTAAACAAATGTGCAGTCTTTCATCCAGAAGTATTTAAAAAATACCGTTATTTATTTGAATCTCCTGCTTTTTCTTAAAATCTTTATTAAAAAGCGATCTGGCAACACTGTAGAAGAAGAAGCAGAACAAGGTCAAGCCAAAACTAACCTACAAAACGACATTTCATCTTAGATCATAACATAACAAATGGATAATAATCATACAACAAATTAAATAATTAAAGTATTGTTAAACAATTAATGTTATATGTTTGTGGCGTGGTCAGCGGCGTTCGTAAGTCATTTAATATTAAATAAATTTTGTTCTTTTATTTCATCATTCATCATTTTATGTTTTGCATCCAATAGGTAGGTGCTTTTAAATGAAATTAATGTGGCGTTGGTTTCAGTATTCGAAAAACAGTGCCATTCTGACAATAATGCCCGGCGAGCACTTAGATGAGAATCAGCAGAGATTTCTGCTGAATTTAGTTGACTATTTTCAAAAGGAACTGCAGCATGGGGGTCCCCTGCTTCCATTAAATTGTATCCAAGAGGTAAGAGCTAATGTCTGTACTGCAATAACTATTCTGCCCTACTATGGAGAAAGGCAGTAACTGCAAAAAAATGCAAAATGTGTTTTCTTGTGCTATGGTAAAGCTATGGACATTTTGTAACCTAATTCAACACAGAAATGCAGTCAAATATCTCATAAGTTAAAAAAATCCATTAAATACCTACTGCTTTTTATAAAAATGTAGTTTATGCTAATTTTCCACAAATTTCTTGTTTAGCAGTTACTGCCTTTCTCCATAGTAGGGCAGTAATATATAGTCTGGCAATGATGCAACAACAAACATTTGTTTGCCAGACTTTATGTGAAATGTAATTATAAACCACAACTTTTGCCACAGCGTGTGGCAAATGCCTTTGGCATTTCAATTCGCACCGTGAGTAATTGTTTAAAAAGGACAGCAGCCAAAGCTCCACTGGCTGAGGACCCACAATCTGAGACCCCACCTTCCAGCAGCAAGATGAAGCGAGCTGACCGCAAGGCTACATTTCCTTACACACCCCGGAAAAAATGGAAAACCACCGATTTACCGGATCCCATTAAAATGCAAATTAGGAATGAGATTCATGACATGTATGCCACAGGTTTGTTTACTTAATAATTAGGCCACAACGGCCGACAATAATAATTATTTTAGTGGTTCCGCATTGATATGTTTTTACCTGTAGGAAAGCACGTAACCCTGGCTACATTAAATGAGCAGCTTAAACTTCGAGATATTGTTCACATCAGCAAAACCAGTCTAAACATCTTGCTGCAGGACATCGGGTTTGCATTTAAGAAGGAAGGCAACCGCTTGATGTTAATGGAACATAGTACTGGGGACGTTTTCAGGGAAGATATGGACAATTCAAAAAAATGTGAAAAAGTTGGTTAACAACCAGGAGTTCTGCCCCAAGGAGGAGGCTGTTACACTAATGTAAATAGGGACGATAGCAGGGAAAGAGTTGATGGCCAATGGCAGAAAAATTGGTGAACCTAGGTTTTTGAATAAATGAATACTTTTTATACCATCAGGAAATTATGTAAAAAACTAAAAGGACCAATAATTTCAAAAACCGCCCCGCCCAGGCTTCGCCAGGATTTTACTACAAAGCAAAACAATTTTTCTGTAAATAAAAATCAAAAACAAATAAATAAAAAGTGAAAAAATGGAATATAGAATTTCTGAGTTTTGCACGTTTAAGTATACTCACTTACTTAGATTTATAAAAATAATTGTTTTTGTCTTCATTTCTCCGACGAATATTGGACACTTCATGAATAAAGTTAATAGTCTTAGCTTTTAATGTTGCATAATAAATAACATGGTTAAATTAATAAATTTTTGGTTATTTTTACCCTAAACCAATTTTGGATGTTTGTTTTGCTAACATTTATACAGGGTGGAACAAAAGTATCAAATAATGGCTTTAACTTTGTTATTTGCAAAGTTTGCAATATAATAGTTATTTTGTATCAAAGCAGTAAAGTCGTATTTTTTATCACGAATGTGGAAATTATTCAATAAATAAACAAGTGAGCAGGGTTGCCAACTCTTGAGATGCACATTATAGTATTTTCTCAATTTAATTATAGTATTTTTTAGAAAAATTATAGTACAGATGATGTATAGGTTTTTGAGAAGCAGGAGCCCACATTTTTTCCCCTTTTTTTTCCAATGGGCTACTAGAAGTTAAATAATTTTAATAAAGACAGCTTCTTTATTATATTACATAATATTTATTATCTTTTTTCAAAAAACGTTTGTTGTGACAATAACTGATAAGTTTACAAACTTTGTATGCAATTGAAAATGTATTCTGTACATACCATAGAAAAAGAATATACCCCTTATCATAGAAAAAGGATATAATGTACACACTGTATTTACACGTATAACCTATAAAAATCTTGTTCTAACAGTAACCTTTAAATCAGAATTAAGAAGAAGAAGAGAATAAATGCACGCGCCGCGGTAATGCGCACCACGGTATTTCATGTGGCTAGTTTTGCTTTTGTATAAAAGAGGGCGCGAAAATACAAATTTTGCAGTTTTCTTTTTTAAAAATTATAGATTTTATTTATGGGTTGCCTACATATTGGCGAATTTTGAAACATTTTGATCCTTTTTCTATGATTTTGATGACGTCGCATATTCGTCTGATTTTGGTATCAAATAAGTGGTCAGATAATGGCGAGAAATATACGTAATTTTTACGTTTTAATAAAAACGGTTTTATTTTGTCGTTTATTTTCACGTCTTAAACGTCGTTGGTCATTTTTTGTTTGATGGGTACCTACTTATATTTCGTCTAAATTTTACGTGTATCAAACGTATTTTTAAAACTTCTCAGAATTCCTGTGGTAAGTACCTTCATGATTTCGACTGAAAGAACTGTATGGGAAGTTTTTTTATGCTCATGTAATATTTTTAACAAATATAGAGTTTTAATTTTTTTTTAACATTTGGTTTTTCAAAACGTTTATTTCACGTAAATATTCCGTTACTTTAAAACTCGTTAAATAACAAACAAAATGCGACGTGAATAACACGAGTTGCCCAGGTAGCACAACGTGACATTAAAAATTGGAAGTGACGAAAACGAGACAATATTTCGTTACGATTAAGGAAATTTTAATAAAAAGTAAATAAATTGCGTGACGCCAAATTCGTGACGAGGGGTCTATGAAAATACGTGACGAATTTGTTCTTAAAGTCGTTAGTTACACGAAATAGTGATAATTTTACTTTAAATTTTGGTATAAAATTCTTGACGTGCAGCTCGTTACAAAAACGTTACAAAATATTTATACAAATCGTCACGAAAACATCACGTAAAGTCGTGACACCAATGCGCAGTCGCCAATGTTCTGTGCATCTCCATCAGATATAAAGTAGGATCTCCATTTTGAATGTTTGGTAACGACCCAAGCCATTGGTTTCTGTAGGTTTTTCTATATTTCTGCAAAGTTTTTAATGGTAAACAAAAGGATAGTTTAAAACCGTAAGTACTTTTGCTTTTCTATATTTCAGTAGCTTAAGACAATTGTCTGCAAAGCTAAACAACTCCACACTCTAATCTAAGAAATGTTTTGCTGTTAGCAACTTAATATAAGTAACCACAACATTTTTAGTGTGTCAATATATCCTTAACAAATTTATTATTAGGTATAGCTTAAGTATTTTAAGTTGAATTTCTACTGAAAGAGGATAAAATACATTTTTTTGTACGTGAAATAAATTTTAATGAAGCCATGGAGAAAACTACTTATTTCTTATGATCATTTTGCAGGTCAATAAAAATTAAAAAAATGGTAACCAACATAACATAGACTGTTTTACAGTCGACACTCTGGACACACTCCACACAACTGGATAGGGGCGAACGAAAACTTTAGACTAAAAGACATAATATTATTGATGGCAAACACAATTGTCTTGGGTTGTCTCGGGGGAAAGAAATATTACAAAGGATGACGTTGAAAAGCACATTATGGATGCCTTCCAGCATACATATGATAAGATGAAATCACAGGTTTGTACTTCAGCTGAACCCTAGTTTTATTTAAGTAAGTTTATTATAAATAAATGTTGCAGTTAAAGAAACTGCAGAAATAAAATAAAAATTTTATACTAAATGAATTATTAATTGACTTCATTCATTTAATTTTTAATTTATAAGAGAAATACTTGTTTAGTTTGTTTTACTGTTTTTTATATTAGGTATATTTTAATAAAATAGTGTTTTATTCTACAGGAGAATTATATTTTTGTGTACTGTTTTATCCTTAAAATAAAAAAATAATTTAATTTTTTTTTCAAAGATGAAATTTGAAAACTAATTGAAATTATTGCTGGTTTTCAAAAGTGTATTTTTATTTTATAAGAGAAATATTTTTTTATTTTGTTAGTGTTTTTATACATATAATATATATTATTATAGTTTATTGTAGAATATGTTTTTACTGTTTTTCTAATAAAATATAATTAATTCAGTTAAATGTGCTTTCTTTGCATTAACATTGCAAAACTAAACAATCCTAACAACAATATATTATTATTTGGGGGTGTAATAATATTGTGTAGTGTAATGCAGTACGGTATAGTGGGTTGTTTTGTGTATTGTGGAATTATTGCTTACCTACAAAGTTTTGTAATTTGATTTCAACCTGATGATGAGGTTGAAATCAAATTACAAAACTTTGAAGGTAAGCAATAATTCCACAATACACAAAACAACCCACTATACCGTACTGCACTGCATTACACTACACAATATTATTACACCCGCAAATAATGCAACTATACGTCACAATTACGTGACCAGTTCAGTTCACTATTCGGTAACGAAGCGTCGTGACGAAACCGTGACAAATCATCGTGAAGAATCCGTGGCGTATTCTTAACTACATCGTGAAGATTTTTATTCATATTAATGTAACGTATTCGTCACAAAAACTATGCTTAAATTTAGCGCGGTTTGGCAACTGTTTTTAATTGAAAACGTTACGATTTTTAAATAACGTCCAAGTCACGACTGTCTGAAAACGTCTCGTTTACGTCAAGATTTCGTTACGTTGTGCTACCTGGGTGGTTACTGCTCTGTCGTACTAAATGTGTTTTCAAAAATTGCTAAATTTTATTACTGAATAGATAAAAATATGCTTTTTGCATTAAAAAAAAAGATTGCCATAGAAACAAAATAAAAAAGATATTATAATTATTATAACAAACTAAAAAACTCAAAACATGCTTCGGAATGAACCAAATTACTTTTAATAAAAAAAAAAATTAAGTTTCTAAATAAGAAAGTTAAAGCAATTATTTGATACTTTTGTTTCACCCTGTATATATATGTTTTTGTACAACAAATATTAACACATTGATGTTATGAAATATAATTTTTTTAAAACTACTATTTATTTACCTATTCAAACCACAAACCCATAGGTAGGTTCAGTATAATTAAATCTTTAATCTTAATTATATTATTACTGGCTGTGGACCCGCCCGCGGCTTCGCTTGGGTGGTTTTAAGGGTAAAAAAGCCATCGCCTCCGCGGGATTTTAGTGAAAGTAACAAAGTAACACTTGAATACCATGATACAAGGATCATGAATCATGTTGAATACATCCACAGAACAGCGCCTTTTGAAAAAAAAATATTTTAAATGTGTAATATAGACAACCCAGATTACTTTTAAAGGTGTTTTTAATTTACCATTTAAGGGCTAATAATAGATACTATTGCTTGCCAAAACTGTGAGAGTACAATTAGGGTGCGCACTATTTAATTTATTTTTTTGATTTGACATAAAATATGAGTTTATAATTTTTTTTAAATAGTGATATTTTAAGTCAAAATTATAGTAAATTGGTAACACTGAATAACGGAAATAGTAAAATTACAGATTTCTACGTTATGCGTAGTTGTCAACTCTCCGTTTAGGATCAAACATTCAGATAATTATCACCTACACGCACACAAATTTTAAGAATATTTAGACTTTTTAATTGTACAATATTATAAAATGTTCTTATTTCTGTATGTGTAATAAATAAAAACACTGCTTCATTACTTTTTTTGGTAATAATGATAAATCAATAAATGTGAACGTTGTCAAAGTAAGACTTGGCAACGCTGTTTTACTAGCAGCTGTTTAATTCGTCCATTGACAGTTGGATGGCATTAGTTGTCAAATGTATAAACAGAATTAAATATTGCATTGTCGGCGCAAGTCTCGTAGTGGTTTTCGCTAGTGTTACCGTCGTCAATTCGTCAGTGTAGGATCGGTTTGACTGTCTCACTCACAGAGTTTGTCTGTGGATCACTAATGAACAGAAGACTTTGTTGTTTTGTGAGTCTCGTTACAGCCTGTAACAGTAATACAACTGATGTTGTTAGTGAAACTCGTTAACAATCTAACTTTGTTGTATTAGTGCCTAGTTATTTAGTTTTCGATGGTGGTGAATTCTTTGGTTTTAGTGAAAAAGTTTAATTGTAGTATTTGTTAGCAGTTTAGTTTTTCTATCATCAGTGAATTTTATTTAATTATGCGCTGATGGAATACATTTATTGCTGTATATCTACTTCTTCGAATAGACCTAAACTAGTGTTCTTCCTAAGGGATAATTTACTGAAATTATAATGTCTGGAAGTCATATGAATAAGGAACCTGAACACAAATCGCCAAGGGAGAGTGGCGAGGATTCAGAGGACGAAAGCGAAATTTTAGAGGAAAGCCCCTGCGGAAGATGGTTGAAACGTCGAGAAGAGGTGAGCACTAATTGTAACTTAAATACCATATCCAATAACCTAGTAGGTGGAGAACTATCGATGGCAACTATCGGACTATCGATAGTTTAACCACTATCGCCATCTATCGATAGTCTGAGGAATTTGAACGATAGTCACCGAAAATCGCCCGCTAAAAATTCATCGCCTTAAAGTTTCTTATTTTAATATATCATATTAAATATAATTAAAAATAAAAAATATTAAAAAAATAAGTAGAAAGTCACTAAATTTTAATTAAGAAAGCAACCTTTTTTACCGACTACATGACATTTGCTGTGCGAAATAGTTATCTATATAATTTAAAGTCCGTTTGTGCGAGCATAACACAGAGGTTTTCTATGGGTATATGCGTGCAAGGGGTTCCCAAAAGTGTTCGTGATACTCGACCTATGATTTATTTTTGTTTATTATTCCCCCAATATTAAATTTAAAACTATCGATAGTACTATCGATATTATCGATAGTGTTAGAATCGCACTATCGATTAATCGTAACCCAGCACTATCGATAGTTCTCCACCTCTATAACCTACCAATATGACAAGTAAAAACCTAACCTAACAAACTATCTACCGGCAACCATTTTGCAAAAATCATTGCAAGCCGCATGCCTAAATGACGTCACGAATCGATGTTGGCGCTAGCCCTTTGATAACACGACTTATACAGGGGATTACCGAAGTATTTCCCGCAACATGTGATAAAACTATTTACTTGGAATCAGTATTAACGTGATCCAGTTGCTTCAAAACAATGTTGCCAACGAAACCACAATAAATTATTTTAAAAATAAATAATTAGGGGTGTTTTCATAAAACTGGGGCGCTCTGAATTCATGCAAGCACATGTCGAGATAATACGAACCGTTTTCTAAAGTTTAAACCAATTTACAGCTAAATTAAACAGTTACAATTACATTCATTTTAATTACCAACCTCAGTATTTTAATATCCGAAATAACACTAAATATAAAGAGATATCAGCGTTAAGTGCAGACCAGACATATTATGTGTGTGTAATTTTTTTTATCTTATTCCATTTAACTAATCATTTTATTTTGCAATAAAGGTAACTAAGGTATTTTTAGAACTCAAGAACTATGACCTTCTCTGGCTACCCGACCGGTTTCTGTAATTTCTTTTTTTAAACTTATTTTCAAATTATTTTTAAACATACATTTTTTTAGGAAAATAATATATTATGTATTATTTTTTTATTGATAGGTACCTAGTACCTATTTACAACCTCTATAAAAAGGTTGTAAAGTTTAAAATAAAAAAAAAATCACTTTTCAAATGAAATTGGTAGGTATGAATGAGCCCATTCACTTTAAATAAATGTATGTTTTGTGGCCCTCACAAAGAAAATTCTTTTTCTTATTGCTCTATTCACATGTTAGTGGGTTAGAATACTTATACATATCTTATACATATTCAGCATTGTAAAAAAATAATCTACTTTACACCTAAAAATAAACCATTGTAAAGATTAGCATATATTTTAACGGTACATCCTTGAATGATTTTTTTGTACAGCCTTCATTATGCCTTATTTTTATGCACACAAGTTATTAAGTAATTAAATGTACGAAAATTGGCAAAAGTCGATAGTTTTAATTTTAAATTTTTTTGGTGGTACAGACAACCTTGACCCAGAGGCCTTGAATTATAAAAAAAAGCATGAATCGGTTCCAAATTTTTTCGCTTTATTTTCAATGTCTTTGAAGGAAGCAACAAAAATAATTCATGTTTAAAGTACATATTGCGTGTACAGGGATTGAAAAATTAAAAAATGGTAATAATTTGTAGTGGTAAGTGCCTACATATGTACGTATAATTTTTGTTGCTCAAAATTAGGTACTCTCTAAAAATGAATTAGTCAAAAATCACTAATTACTTCAGTTATTAGTGGCCGCTTTTTCACTTATACCATGGTATACCATGATATCCCTGATAATATCCAATTCTTATGTAAGTATACTCGATATATCGAGGTAAGTATATAAAATTGTCCCCTGAATCCGAAAATACTTTCAAAAATTATAAAGGTAAAGCAATAGTCAATTCCATATTATTTGGAAAATTGACTATATCTCAAAAACTGTTTTACTTTTATAACTTTTTCGACATTTTCGGATTAGGTATGCGAACAATTTTACATAAGAACTGGCTATTATATCGGGGATACTATGCTATCCCATGGTAGGTATACCATGGTATAAGTGAAAAAGCAGCCACTAATAACAGTAGTAATTAGTCATTTTTAGAGTAGTATATTTTATTCCATATTAATGCAAAATTAACGATTACTACTTATAAATAATTTTTTAGATTATACAGGGTGTCCCACAATTAGTGCGACAAAATGAAGGTGTATTATCTACAGACCCCCAGAAATTCCAGAAAATTGTTTAAAAAATTCTTCCTTCATTATTTAAAAAGATACAGGGGAGTCATATTTTCTTTATATGGCAAAATTGCCTCAAAAAAAGGGGATAGTTTAATTCTTAATCATCATGTTAACATTGTTGTTTGTTGTCATGATGATTAAAAATTAAACTATTACTTTGTTATGAGGCAATGTTGCCATACAAAGAAAAAATGACTCCCCTGTATCTTTTTAAATAATGAAGGAAAAATTTTTTAAACAATTTTCTAGAATTCCTGGGGGTCTGTAGATAATACACCTTCATTTTGTCGCACTAATTGTGGGACACCCTGTATATATCTTCACTTAAATTAAAGTAAATAAACACGTTTATCTAAATACGTAGTAGTTTAATAATAAAAAAACATATCACCGACTAAATCCTAAAAAACAAACAATCGTATGAAAATTTAACCCACCTTAATAGTGAATAAAATGTAGTGTAATTAAAATGGCTGGTGATAGGACAGCCTTTGGCATATGAGTCATGCTAAATCTACAGCTACACAATTAATTAATCTTGTATTGTAGATCTTGTTGCAATATTTTATTACTCATCGGTCGGTCTATTACAGTAAAACCATTAATTAAGGTGTTCTTCTTCACTCAACGGTAAAACGTTGTTTCGGTTTTTTTAAACGTGAAACAAAAACACTTTAGATACCTATTTGTTACAAATTGTTAAGATTTGTATCAGGGTCAATAATAATAAAAGTTACCTAATTTAAACCTTTACTTCTAATTTAAAATCTTAAAAATAATAGGTAAATTTTTTACAAAAATGGACTGTTAAGACTTATAAAAATGCATTTTTAAAATATAAAAATTATGGCCATTAGTATTACAAAATCCATTGCTTAGTTTGATGTTTGGGTGGAATGTTCGTCCACAGCGAACATGTAAAAAAGGAAATTAATAGTTTTGCCTGAATGTAGACAACCAAAATTACACGTGGATGTAATGTTGATAAAAAGTACCTTCGTCACTCTTTGGCCAATAAGAGTTTATGAGCAAAAAATGACGTCGATCTGTTGCTGCTGAACACACTTTCGAATTTATAATACATATTAAGTAAGGATAACACCCTATTTATTTTTAACTTACCTGCTTTAAATTAAAATAAATTATGATTCTTATCTACGTTTTACCCTCGTTTTTTTTGATCATATAAATAGATTTTATTCATTTTCATAATATGTGCCAAAAATAGTGCATGATTTTTCATTTTGTTTGATGACAAAATTATTATTTTTTTTAATAATTAAGTATTATATATAAGACTCATATTAATACTAGTTCAAAAGTCAAATTATTATTAAACTCCGTACAGAAATAAAGCTGTCAGTTAAACGTAACTTAAAAATGATTTGACAGAATTTTAAGAAATTAAATGCTTGAAAAAGTAGTACCCGAGGTAGTACCTATATAAAATCCGGCGGCGAAAGCTTATTAATTGCCTCGCACCAGTGGCGTAATAAGCACCCCCGCAGACCCCGCACCGCGGGGGGGCCCAGACGGTCAGGGGGCCCAAGGCGTTCTTTTTCGAAACTAAAAATAGTGAAAACATATCTTCGTAACACTATGGGAAAACAACGTCTTTGTAATTTATCAATTATTAGTATTGAACATGAGTTTATTAAGACATTAAACATTGACAATATTATAACTGAATTTGCAAAAAAACTCTAGAAAATCAGACCGATTTTTCTAGTAAATCTATAAATACTTAGACAATCGCATTTTGTGTTTGTTTTTAATTTTTTTTAATTTAACTTCTTTAAGACTGTCTACAATATGTTTTTAATTTTTTTTCAAGAATGTTTAGACTTGGTAAGATATGTATACATTTTTTAAATTATTATTATTTTTAAATTGTTATTATTGCTGGTATAATACTGCCGTTCTAAGAAAGGCAAAATTTGGTAATAAGAACAGAAAATGTTTAGGTAATTATTATTTAAATATTTTTTTAAAAGAATCTAAATAAGATATTATATATTATAGAATTACGAAAATGATCCAGCATAAAAAAGGTATATAGAATAAGATATTTTTAAACCAAAATTAATTAAATATTTTATGTTTTACTACCAAAAATTGCAGATACAGCAATTTTTCTTACCTAATACTTTTTTATTTGCTTATCGTATGTCTGTCTATCGTATACACTCTATACCTACCTGTCAAAATTTTTAATTTAAAAAATATTATGTATATAATGTAGGTTTAAAAGTACTATGATAAACTATTTTAAAAATTACCTATTAAATAAACTTTTTAATTATTGTAAAGAGGGCCAATTAAAATCGTTTGCGGGGGGGCCCACTAAGAATTTGTTACGCCACTGCCTCGCACACAATCTACTAAAGAAAATGTATGCTCGGCGATAATATGTGCTTTCTCCGCCTGGTCTATAATGTAATATTTCTTTCGAATTTTTAGCAATATTTACAGGTTTAAATTTAATTTGGTTTTGTTTTAAGAATGTCAAAATTGTAATATTTGTATACCTACGTCTATATATAGATATAAATATATATAATTAGATATACC